ATGACAAGCAACACCCCATGATCCATTAATTCTTAAAAAGCAACAGTAATTTTCCTTGTGGGCAAAGGCTTATAAAGTGGCATCATAAGAAATATATCCATGATCAAAAGAAGAAAATTATCGTGGCCCAATACTGAGCTTGAGTGAAAACTTAACACTTGACAGTGGGACACCATGTCACCATGCCATCGGAGTTGCCTATTGTGACCTGGATACTATCTCATCCCCTGAGCCATATGACTGGATGTGCACAGCAACAGTCTATCTTTACATGGAAATGTTATTGAGCCAGAGAAATTTCTGCTGAGTTCCCATTATGCCAGAAGCATAGACCAACACTTTGTCCCCAATATGGTACCATTCCCTGAGCTGTTCAACCTACGACCTACTGGCAGGTTGATTATTTTGGGCTATTTCCATCATGGAAGTGATAGCACTTTGTCCTCACTAGCATAAAGACATATTCATATACATTTGCCACCCAAGCACATAATGTTTCTGCCTAGACTACCATCTGTGGAATAATAGAATGCCTTATTGACCATTATGCAATTATACATAGCATTGCTTCTGACCAACAAGGAATACATTTTACAGCCAAAGAAGTGAGTCCTTTCCCTGGCGGAGTGGCACATACCTTGATTCCTGATGGGTCTGGACCATTTGTCATTCTGCCTGGATTAGGTTCTTGTACTTTCCTCTTGAGTTTCATAATGGGGCATGGTAATACTAAGAAACGCCCTCAGAGATCTTCTGCATTCCAAGTATATTCTTTTCCTCAATTATGGAATTGTAGTCCAATTTCCTGTTGATACTCTGGCTCAGTCACCTCTGAAAACTGGTCTCAAGCTCATAAAATTCAGTGGAACTGGATTAGAAATATCAAGCTTGTACAGATTTCTGACATCAGTCTTTATGAAGTTTCTTCTGGGAGTGATCCAGCGGTACCCATTCCTCCTGAGTGAAGCCCACAGTCACATGCTCCAAGGCCACACAGTCCTTTTCCTGTTTGCAGGGCATTTGGAGGCCTCACCAGAGACTCCATGTTTGGTGATGTCACTGCTGCACTGTGTGAGGCACCCAAAGTTCTTATGGGTAGAAGGAGACAAGTTAGCAAAATCATTTGACCAGATGGTAACCTCTGTGCACTATGACAAGCAACACCCCATGATCCATTAATTCTTAAAAAGCAACAGTAATTTTCCTTGTGGGCAAAGGCTTATAAAGTGGCATCGTTAGAAATATATCCATGATCAAAAGAAGAAAATTATCGTGGCCCAATACTGAGCTTGCGTGAAAACTGAACACTTGACGTGGGACACCATGTCACCATGTGATCTGAGTTGCCTATTGTGACCTGGATACTATCTCATCCCCTGAGCCATATGACTGGATGTGCACAGCAACAGTCTATCTTTACATGGAAATGTGATTGAGCCAGAGAAATTTCTGCTGAGTTCCCACTATGCCAGAAGCATAGACCAACACTTTGTCCCCAATATGGTACCATTCCCTGAGCTGTTCAACCTACGACCTACTGGCAGGTTGATTATTTTGGGCTATTTCCATCATAGAAGTGATAGCACTTTGTCCTCACTAGCATAATGACATATTCATATACATTTGCCACCCAAGCACATAATGTTTCTGCCTAGACTACCATCTGTGGAATAATAGAATGCCTTATTCACCATTATGCAATTATACATAGCATTGCTTCTGACCAACAAGGAATACATTTTACAGCCAAAGAAGTGAGTCCTTTCCCTGGCGGAGTGGCACATACCTTGATTCCTGATGGGTCTGGACCATTTGTCATTCTGCCTGGATTAGGTTCTTGTACTTTCCTCTTGAGTTTAATAATGGGGCATGGTAATACTAAGAAACGCCCTCAGAGATCTTCTGCATTCCAAGTATATTCTTTTCCTCAATTATGGAATTCTAGTCCAATTTCCTGTTGATACTCTGGCTCAGTCACCTCTGAAAACTGGTCTCAAGCTCATAAAATTCAGTGGAACTGGAACTGGAATTCACCATGTACCTCACATCCAGGAGTAGGTCAAATGATAGAAAGTTTCAATGGTCTTTTGAAGACACAGTTCCAGCACTAGCTAGGTGGCAGTAGCTTGTAGGGCTGGGGCAATTTTCTTTCTTTCTTTTTTTTCAGCCTTAATTGAATTTATTGGTACATGTTAGGGATACAGTACAGTTACATTCATTGTTGGGATCTTGTACCTCTACATGACAAGTCTTGATTCTCATTTTTTCCCCTTACCCCTGCCCTCCCTTCTTCAAAAGGCTGTAAATGCTTTGAATCAGCATATACTGTAAGGTATTGTGTCTCCCACAGCCAGGATTCACAGGTCCAGGAAACCAGGGGTGGAAGTGGGAATGGAACCATTCAACATTTCCCTCAGTGATCTACTAGCAGAACTTTTGCTTCCTATTACTGCAACCTCATGTTCTGCTCACTTAGAACATAGAGTCTTAGTTTCAGGAGCAAGGTTTGTACCAGGAAGCACAACGATACCATTGAATACCATTATGCAATTATACATAGCATTGCTTCTGACCAACAAGGAATACATTTTACAGCCAAAGAAGTGAGTCCTTTCCCTGGCGGAGTGGCACATACCTTGATTCCTGATGGGTCTGGACCATTTGTCATTCTGCCTGGATTAGGTTCTTGTACTTTCCTCTTGAGTTTAATAATGGGGCATGGTAATACTAAGAAACGCCCTCAGGGATCTTCTGCATTCCAAGTATATTCTTTTCCTCAATTATGGAATTCTAGTCCAATTTCCTGTTGATACTCTGGCTCAGTCACCTCTGAAAACTGGTCTCAAGCTCATGAAATTCAGTGGAACTGGGACTGGAATTCACCATGTACCTCACATCCAGGAGTAGGTCAAATGATAGAAAGTTTCAATGGTCTTTTGAAGACACAGTTCCAGCACTAGCTAGGTGGCAGTAGCTTGTAGGGCTGGGGCAATTTTCTTTCTTTCTTTTTTTTCAGCCTTAATTGAATTTATTGGTACATGTTAGGGATACAGTACAGTTACATTCATTGTTGGGATCTTGTACCTCTACATGACAAGTCTTGATTCTCATTTTTTCCCCTTACCCCTGCCCTCCCTTCTTCAAAAGGCTGTAAATGCTTTGAATCAGCATATACTGTAAGGTATTGTGTCTCCCACAGCCAGGATTCACAGGTCCAGGAAACCAGGGGTGGAAGTGGGAATGGAACCATTCAACATTTCCCTCAGTGATCTACTAGCAGAACTTTTGCTTACTATTACTGCAACCTCATGTTCTGCTCACTTAGAACATAGAGTCTTAGTTTCAGGAGTAAAGTTTGTACCAGGAAGCACAACAATGATACCATTGAACTGGAAGCTAAGACTTCCCTGTGGTAATTTTGGTTTCACTGTGCCTCTGAAAAAACAAGCTAAAAAAGGAATCACAATGTTTTCAGAGGTGACTGAGCCAGAGTATCAACAGGAAATTGGACCATAACTCCACAATCAAGGAAAAGAATATACTTGGAGTTCAGGAGAACTCTGAGGGTGTCTCTTAGTATTACCATGCCCCATTATTAAACTCAAGAGGAAACTACAAGAATCTAACCAGGTAGAATAACCAATGGCCCAGACCCATCAGGAATGAAGATATGGATCACTCCACCAGGGAAAGAACCTATGCCTGCTGAGGTACTTGCTGAAGGATAAGCCAATACAGAATGGCTAGTAGAGGGCTGGGGATTTAGCTCAGTGTTTCCATCACCTGCCTTGCAAGCACAAGGTCCCAAGTTCAATCCCCAGTACCAAAAACAAAAAAGAAAACAAAACAAAAAACGGAATGTGTAGTAGAATAAGCTCATTCTAAATACCAGATACAACCCCATGATCAGCTACAGAAGTGAGGATTGTAATTGAACTGTTTCTCTCCTAATTCCAGATCTAAGCTATAATGTTCAAGTTATCAAATGTTAAGAATAAACATCACCCAAAGACAGTTTGTCTTCTATTCTGGGGCAGGAATCAGTGCATTTCTGTTTGTACACAGGATAGCTCTAACATGTTAGATGTAATTATAAGCTTGTCTTGTATTTGGATACTGAATTAAGGAAATGTATCTGATTGCTAAATTGACAAAGGGTAGATTGTGATGGTTTATGTATTATGTCAATTTAGAAAATGGATAAAGAGAAACTCAACTAATTCCAGCCCCGTGGGCCTAGAAGATCCAACCTAGGGTGGCTTTTGCATGCCTGGGTGTTATAAAAGGGAAGTGAGAAGGACACTGCTGCTTCTGTTCTTTTGGAGGAGGCCCAGCCTTCACCTTGGAGGTCATCTCCTGCCTTGTAGGGCATTCTTTCACTTTCAGCCCACATTCAAAAGCCTTCCATTGTAGACCCTTAGCCTTCCACCATAGACTCATCACCCTCTTGGTGTACACTGCACTCACATGGAGCACTCATGAGTTCAAGACATTCAACTAAATCCTCAGGTCTCCAGTGGGCAGACAGACCCTCTGCACTCTTCCTCATCCAACTCTGCAGGTGGGCATTGTAAGTCAGTCTTTTAAAGTCCTATGTATTTGTATAGCTTGTGTTATAACTGTTTCTCTACTAAATTCTGACTGACATAACATAGAAAGAGGGAAGGCTTATTTTGGCTCATATGGTCAGTTGACCAATTGTTTCGGGCATATGGTAGTACAACATGGGGCCAAGGAAGCCTGCTCACTTCCCATGACACCTGGAAAGCGAGAGAAAGAACAGTAGTCAAGATCTTTGCCACTAGGACTATATGCTCCAGCAGATCCATGTCAGAGAGGTGGCATTGTTCTGTGTATCCAGTGCCCTTCCCAATCCATATATTACCCTTTGCTATAATTTGCAACTCTTTATTTTGAGCATTTAGGAGAATAAAATCAAGCTGAATTCCTGTTACCATGCCATTCATGATATTCTCTCCTTGCTATACTTTCTTTTCCAGGTGGTAACAAAAAATAATCCAGATGGGGTGCAAATGCTGTAAAATGATACAAAGGTAAAGTTGAACAAAGCCTTCATCCAAATGGAGGAATCTGTGCTTATTAAATCACTTTTAAAGACCATGCCTATAATAGCAGTTCAAAACTCATAACATTATCAGAGTAAGTTATATGCAGGTATGTAAAATCATGTTGAAATTCAATGTGTGATAAAATTAACAGACATTAGCAATATGAATTAAAATAATAATGGCAATAATAAAGATTATGCAGGCATTCAGTGCATTTAGCTGGCGTGAGGTTCAATGCACAGCTCTGTTCATTGAGCATTTGGCATGATTTTGATCCCAGACAACCTGTGTATTTCCTAGATTTTAAACTTTTGTTCACTGCTCAGAGCATGGGGAGATCGCTGTTGTTCTCAGTGACTAGGTTTGGTTTGGATCCAATATCCATTTCTCCAGAGCTTCAGGGAATAGAAAAGCTCAGTTTTCAGAGGATGCCTGAAATGGGATCCATGAAAATAACCACCCAGTCACATATGTTCCTTTAGTTTTGTTTTTTTATTTATATAGTGCCATAATCATGTGATATTTGGTTCTATTCATAAAACATTTATTATTCCCAGAATGCTGATGCACACCTGTCACACCAGCAACTAGAAAGAAAAAAGTAGGAAAATTGCCATAAACTGGAGACCAGCCTGGGCTACCTAGGAAATTCATGACCAAGTGTATTGCATAATGAGACACTGTCTCAAAATTTATTTATATAGTGCCATAATCATGTGATATTTGGTTCTATTCATAAAACATTTATTATTCCCAGAATGCTGATGCACACCTGTCACACCAGCAACTAGAAAGAAAAAAGTAGGAAAATTGCCATAAACTGGAGACCAGCCTGGGCTACCTAGGAAATTCATGACCAAGTGTATTGCATAATGAGACACTGTCTCAAAAAAAAATTAGAAAAAAAAAAAGAAACTATTGGTTAGAAGTATACTAGGTCTGCTATAACCATGGGTTCCATAGTCACAGAACCAACTTCAGATGGATAAAAAAAATTTTTTGAAAGAAATTATGTCTGCCCTAAGTGCAAATACACTTGTTTCTTTTAATTCCTTCCTAAGCAATGCACTGTGTAAGTATTTATGTAGCATTTACATTGTATGAGGTTTCACTAATGTAGCAATGGACAATTGAAGTATAAGTAAAATGTACATTGGTCATATGCACACACTGCTCTGTTTTCTGTACAGACTTGAGCATGTACAGATTTGGGATCTGAAAGGCCCTAGAGGCAGCTCCCCTCACCTTCAGAGGGAACAGCTATCTTTTTATGCTACTACAGATTTCACACTTATCATTTTAAGGACTGTATAATGTTGCATTGCAGAGAGGTATATTCAGTACTTAACCCTTTCTTTTCCTGTTAGAGGACAGCTGTTTCCCTTAGTTTTATTTTTAAATTTTGTGAAACGCCCATTGTACTTTTCCATTCCCCACCTTTTGGATCTTTTCTTAAACGCCCTTTCTAGTAGGACATTCTTATACAAAAAATGTCTTTTTAATGTAGACAGAGGTTTAAAAGAGTAATTCCGGGAACTAGGGCACACATGGGTGGGCTCCTCCTCCATGGTGCAGACTGACTGATTTCTGTTCCTCTCACCGCCAGCTACCTCTGTGACCCAGCTCAAGCACCGTCCCCTGATTACGTCAACGAAGTAAGCAGCTCCAATTTGGATGAAGACCACACTGTTAAATTAAAAGGCCAGCTAAGCAGTGAGGTTCTGGTGCATAAAAATGTCCTCCCCAGTGAGGGCTTAAGGAGAACTGAGAGCAGAGGCTGGAATGCTGGCCCACAGGAGCCTAGCAGGGCACAACAAGGATCACTCCCTCAGGAGGACGTGGGATGTGCACACTGTGCCAAGCCTGGAGGCACTGCCAATGGCATCGGCCCCAGAGCCTCTCCACAGTCCCTCAGGAAAGCCCAGCTGGGCTCATGGGCCAGCACAGAAGAAAGCATTCACACAGCTCTGCCCTTCCTTGAAGTCAGGGACTCCGGGAGCCAGGACTGTGTGCTGCCCTCCTTGGAAGAGACTCCAGCCATGGGAAAAGGCGAGTGCAGAGCTCCTGCTGAGGCACAGAGTCCAGTCTGGGAAGGACAAGGCCATAGCTTCCTACTGCCAGCCCCAGATTACCCTCCCCTGTGGGACCTGGCTGCAGAAAGACATGGGGATATTGGGGATGAGGATGAAGCAGTGGCTGAAGCCCTTGCAGCATTAGAAGCAGCTACTGCAGGAGAAGATGTGGATGAGGCAGACTAGCAAGCAGAATTGGTGTGGCCAGTGAGCCAGTGCCATGCTGAGCAAGGTGAGAGCCCTGTGCTCCTTGGGACAAGAGCTGAGCACTGGCCAGCACACCCTGGTGTGGCTTAGGTCTTGTTTACCTCCAGCGTCTGTTCTGATTCTGGCTGCCTGAGCTGTGCTGCTTGTTAAAAGTGTTGTAGCCTTACTGTGTCCTTGGGCCTTCACTGGGAACATCTGAGTGAGCTGATCTGACTCTGTTCACAGAATGTGCAGAAACTGTGCACCGTTTTTCCCAGCTATCACAGCCCAGAGAAGCTCTGGTGCAGAAGGCATAAGAATGCAGTCAAGTCCCCATTCCCAATCCCAAGGAAAGACAGTCACTGAGCATCCTGTTTGACTGTAAATCCTTTGCCTTGCTTGTGAGAGCCAAGTGTCCCTGACCTTGTAAAGGTAGCTCTACCTTCAAAGTGCCTATCATGCTCAGGGACAGTCACCCAGGGAACTGATAACTAATCACTTGTTGGACACTAGTTAGGTGGAGCAGTTTTCAGGAGGACTGGAAGTGACCAGGAAACAAATGGTTAGTCTTTCATGTGATAGGAAAACACATGGACCTTAACATTTTTTCACTGTGACTTTTTATAAATCTCCTTGTGATTGGGGAGCCTGGGCAAAATCATTGTAAAAACTTCTTCTGTCATATTTTTGGGTTAAATTCATGAGTTTTGGGAACAGCAGAACCATATATGGATAGCTTTATGCCATTAAAAGTCTGATCCCAATTAAAATATACCATTTTTTTTGGTCTCTCTGTATGGACTCAGAGGTGGTTCTGACATAGATCCATGTAGAACTGAGAAGAGTTGAGATGGTCAAGCTTGTGGAAAAAAAGTATAAACATAAAAGACATTTTAGTTTGCTGTTTTGGAACCTAGACTCTGAAATTTCACTGACCTGGAGCAAATAATTCATCTTCTCTCATTGCCTATCTGTTAAGTGAACGCCTAATAATATGTATTGTGAAGATTCACACACTTGCCTGGCACACAGTAGGCAACAGAAATGATGTTTTATTAAATAGATTTTTAAAGAGTTTTGCATCCGTTGGTAATTTACTTTCCGGCTCCACTCTGCCTGTCTACCTTTCTCGGTTGGTTGTCTTCCTACCTCTATCACTGACTCTATCGACTCTTGCTCTTGACCTTGGGTTTAAGTGTCTGAGCTTTTCTGAGCTTTAGAGTCCTTGTCTGCAAATGGAGGAGTGTTTCTACTTTCCAGCATTGACAGGAGTGCTTGCTGAACCAGCAGATTTCTGGACCTTACTTTTTAAAAATACAGATTCAGTAGGTCCAGGAGTTGGTTTGGGTGGGCTGCACAGTCTCTCTAATACCAGAAACACCCTTAGAAACTCTAAGGGACAGCGACGCCTACTTGATACTGCACTGATTACCAGTAAAAACAAAATTGCACACTCACCCTAATATACAAATGTTCATAAATACATGTCCAGACCTGTACTAGTAACAAATAAACATCACAGAGCAATTCCAGGGAGAAGCAATAATTATCTACCAGAGATTTCATATTTTTCCCCACACTTCTGGGGTATGTGAAACGTACTTTGAAAAGCATTAGTGGAGAAGTTCAAACCAACTAGCATATATAATATCCTTTTCGCACAAAACATAGTGAGGCTAAGAGGTTTTAAAAACAATTAAATGTGCATTATTATGTGAGATGAGCACTACAGGATGCAATCATGCTTAAATACCCACCCTGAGGCCCCTCACCTGCCACAGTGCACACTGACCTGTATGGCTCCCGAGCCTGGTTTTTAGGAGATTTCTGTATCTATTGCTTTTAGGCATTTTAGAGAAGTTAATATTCCACTAGGGTAGAGTGTGACTCCAAGACCCAAATGTAGGCCAAGAATTTTATTCTTCTCCCTTGTGATTCCTACACCATTCAAACTAAAAGGAGAGAGACTGTTGAGGGACAGGTTGGTTAAAATATTTGCTTAGAAAAAAGCCCACAAACACTGAAAAAGACACGTGTTACCTTCACTCTGTCCTTAAACCCTGGTGATCCACAGAGTTTAAGACCAGAGATGGCTCCAAGCATCTCAGAGCCAAATCTATACTCTTCTGAGTGTTTCAATAGAGTCCAGGGCCAAGTCAAGGAAATTTGTGGAAGGAGATTATTCTGAGAAGAGGAAGGGGAGAGGGTAAGTGAGAGCCTTTTAGAGAAGAAACAACTATGGCTGGGACTCCTGGCCACAGATGTAAGGCAGCTCTGGAACTTGTCATCCTGGAGGTGACATTCAGGGTTTCATGACCACTGCGCCTCTGTGACTCCTTATAAACACATTTCTCTGTGCATACTTGCACTGTTCAGGAGTTTTGTGGTTGTCCTTATTTTTCTTGTTGGTTTTGTTGCTGCTGCTACTGCTCTTTTAAGCACTGACAGAAACCCAAACCCTGAGAGGAAAGGGGGAAATGTCCTTGAAGTGTTTAGAAATCACAGAAAGGCAGCTGTGCCACAGGGCCCCCAAGCAGTCAGGACCTCAGTCTTCCCTCTTCAGTTTCCATTCTGATCTTCTAACCAGCTGGACTCCACCAACTTCCAGCTGTGGCCACCAGAAAAATTAACCACTTTCTCCAACTTCCATTTGCAGACATCTCAAGGAGGTGCTCCTTGAAGCCAGAATGCAGTTGGGTAGCAAGCTCACCCTGGCCATGTCCACTTTTGGTGAAGGGAACAGGGTACCCAGAAGTCTTCTAGCAGGCAGGAGAGCAACTTCCCAGAAGGGAAAATGCAGGGCTGATGCAGACTCAGCACTCTCTTGGACACCCTACCTCTTCACCCTACCTCTTCTTCCTCTGGTCTTCCTGCTACTCCTGACCTGTGCCTCTGCACCTTATGGACCCCCCTTCACCCTGTGGTCAACATGACAACTTCACGTGGTGACTGGTGAAGCTTTGAATAAGAGACTTGCTGGATCAGATAGCTCTCTAGACAAAGCTAATGTGCGGAGCCATTCATCCTCCACTTTGACTAGCTATAGGAGGACAGGTGCACAGAAGCATTACCACAAACTATGGCCAAAACACATGCTAAAATTTTGTTTTCAGCGTAACACTGTGGGGGAGAGTCGCCATGAAGATATTGAAGACAGAGTCATTCCATCCACATTGGAAGATTAGCGCCTTTCTTTAGTCTGTTGGGTTGCTTTAAGAAAAGATTGCTTCTCTTGGGAGTAGATTGGGTCTTGTGAGAGTGCATTAGTTACCCAGAGAGAAGACTTGCAAAACAATATCACCCTGGTGTTTTCTTCTTCTGCACATGCTCACTTGGCCCTCTGGCTCATGTTCCTACCATCTGATGTCTCTTGCCTTCTTGCCTTGTTATCATGAGGCAGCATGAAGACTTCCACAGTTGTGTTTTTCTCAGCTTGGACATTTACCCTCTAAAACACAGGGGAAAATAAATCTCTTTTCATAATAGAGTTCTCAACACCAGGTATTTTGTGATACAAAAGTCACTGATTACAACTTCCAATGCAGGAGACTTCCAGAAACTGACATGGAAAGTAGGCAGACTGTAACTTTGTATGCATTTTATCATGCTAAGAAACATCTATGAGACAGGTCATTTTGCAGAGAAAGGCAGCAGGGCTCTGAAAGATAAGGCAGATTTCCCAATATCATGGGAATGAATGGGAAACCTGAGTGTCAATTTTACAGCAAAGGTTGGTCTAGTTCTCCGAAACAAAATTGTTTCCAATAGTCACATCACTTCCATGAATGGGTTCAAGGATGGGTCTTCCTCCAAAACAGAAAGCAGTTACTTTTGCCAATATCCAATGCAGCATCCACAAGCACAAAGGCCACCAGGTAAGAAATTCAGATTCTGATGAAAAAAGCTATAAAGATGAACTAGCAGGGTCAGAAAAACGGATTGAAAAGCTCAAACGATATTTTGTCTAATAAAATAGCTAATGATTTTGCTTCATGTGTATAGGTAAATTTCATTTGGTTATTTTTTCATTTATCATTTTAAAAAAAGGGGGTGCTTTCTGAAGAGGAGGGCCTGAAAAAAGACAGTAACACCAACAAACAGCCAAGAATCCATCTCCCTGCTGTTGTCACTTGTGGCCAATAGATGGGGCAAAGTACCTCTGCAATGACTGGCCCATCCGGATACCTGCTAAACAGGTGAACAAGGACACACCAGGATGGCTGATGTTGCTGTGCAAAAGGCCCTAAGTGTCCTTTTGTGTGCTATTGGACACAGTGAGGGACCCCCAGGGAGATATGACAAGAGTCTTCAGGAAGAAGGTAGAAAATGTGGGAAGGAGAGAATATTTGGAAAAAGACCATTATGTTCCACCAAAAACAAAAGTCAGAGAATGCAAGAATTCGCAAGTGGGATGTCCCTGGGATCACACACAAACACTAAGCAACAAGCACTAAATTGTGTGATGCCACTCTAAGCCCCCAGCATTCAGCTGCATAGCTGGAGACCCTACCTGTACTGGCTTTGAGTGGAGCACCATGGATATGTAGATAGACCTAAGAGGAGAGTATGGGAACAGATCATGCAAGGACAGGGGAAGATTCCCTGGCAGAGTGACCCAGAACTGCCAGCATGTCAGGAGTTGGCAGAAACCATATTACAGGACTGCACGGCCAGTGAGCCTGTGTTATGTGCTACCTTTCCCAAGTAACCCTGTACCCAAGGGTCTCAGCAGATGACAGCTAATGACTCACTGTCACCCATTCTGCGTTGGACAGATTGACTGAGCCCTTGCAACAAAGACATAGTGAATCTCAGTCATTTCTGAAGCTATATCTGGGGCTTATGTTTTGGATATAGGGCAACAAAAATGTCAGGTTTTGTGTGTTTTACACAAACACACAAATCAACACTCAAGGACACACTGATGTATATTGAAACTGGGATATGAAAATTATATTGCAGAGAGCAAAAATTGAATTTGCATTACTAAGAGTTCACATAACTTTACTGATGACGATGGGTATAAAGAGACCTGTTCTTGTTCATGTTAGTGGAGTTCTCACTGGATACCTGAAGGCTCAAATAAAAAAGACCTGTGTAGCTGACCTACACTCTGATTGCTAACTATATTTTTCAAGGCGGTACATGTTCAGATCTAGGTAGGCTAGGCATGTCTTTACATTCCTAATTGCTGACACAAAATATTGCACACAACATAAGAGACGAGTTTATTTCGGTTCATCATTTCCAGCCACAGGGCTGTCTCCAAGGCAAGTACAGCAGGGAAGAAGGGACAAAGTGAAGCAAAGTGTTCTCAGTAAATGGTGGACAGGAAGCTGTGAGAGAGCCAGAGAGACACAGAAAGAGAAAGAGAGAGGAATACAGACAAGAGTCCTGACAAGAATAGAGTCTTTTGCAACATGCTCCCAATAGCCGACTCCTTCCCCTCTTCAAGGCAAATCAAGTACAGAACGCATCACAGGATGAAGCAATTGATGAGGACAGCAGCCTGAGATTCAGTCACTGTGAACACACATGAGGCTTTCCAGGGACAGCACATTTCAGATCTACAATGTGGCATTAGGTACACACACACCACAGAAATATTGTAGCTCATGAATCCAGGTTTCCTTACCATATGTTCTGGCTGCTATTGAGATGTCTCCCAAAGCATCATGCTTTTTCACATTTCGTTAAACCTAGAGCATGTGATTAATTCATACTCGAGAAGGGCCTGAGAGTACCAGGAGTAAGCGTGCAACTTTGCAGAAAATTACTCGCTTTTTGAGAAACACCTCTAGGACTGCTACTGGGTGGAGTGGAATCTGAGCACTTGACCGTGGGATATCACATCATCCAGCCACATCAGGTGCCTATCATGACCTGGGTGCTATCACATCCCCTGAGTCATATGGTTGGGTATGAACATCATCAGCCTTTTGTTAAATTACATGGTATATATGCAAGGAAAGGAGACCGGGTCCAGAGGAGAAAAGGAAGTACCAAAGGGAAGTTTCCCAGACGCCTATGGCTCCTATACTTTGTCTACTGCCTTGTGCTTTCCAGCATGGAGCTTGGATCTCATGGGAAGAACCACAAGAAGAGCTTTCAGCGGCAGAGGAGGCTAGGACTGGTTTGCAAAGGCTCTGCATGTTAAGGAAGCACTACCCAACTGTGGACAGCAGTAGCATTTTAGCGCCTTTCAGGACATCCGTCAAGGACAGTGGTGAATGGAAATCATCACAGTAGCCAGACTTTGGGCATTGCACCTGGTAATACATTTTACTGGAAGCAGAAATGGCTAGATGTGTGACTCTGTACAGATTCCTCGGCTGTAACCAGTGATCTGAAAGAATTTCTGGGGTGATTCACCCAGACTCGTAGGCAGAAATTGGAGTTCAACTCCACAATTTGAAAATTAAGAATATCCTAGGATAGCTGGAGATCCTTGAGGGTGTCTCTTACTATTACCATGCCCCATTGTGAAAACCAAATGGAAACTACAAGAACCTATACAGGCAGAATGACCAATGGCCCAGAACCACCAGGAATCAAGGTAGGTGTCACTCCACCGGGGAAAGGACAAGTGCCTGCTGAGGTATTTGCTGAAGGCCAAGCCAATATAAAATGGAAAATAGAAGGTGGGCTGAAAGCCCATAACCAGCTACTGAAATGAGGATTGTAATTGGACTATTGCTATATTAACACTGCTTCTTCAGTATTATGAAACCTATGTTATGATGCTCAAGTTATGAAATGTTAAGAGCAAGCATCACTCAAAGAAAACTTGCCTAAACTTCTGGACACAGAAGTTTACACGTTGGTATACATGTTACCACTGACCAGGTAGACAAAACTAGAATCTTGTCCTTGTATCTGTAGTCTAACTTCAGGAAATACATCTGGCTGTCACGTAGCCAAAGGGTGAGTCTTGATGGTTGCTGGTTTTTGTCTGCTTGACAGCTGGAGTAAGATAAGCATATATAACTCCAGGCCCTAGGGACTACAACATCCAACCTAGTTAGGGACGGATGCCCCCTAGGTAGGGGCAGACTCATGCTAGGTAGGGACAGACTCCCCCTAGGTAGGACGGACTCCTGCTAGGTAGGGGAGGCCTCCTCCTAGGTAGGGGTGCACTCACCATAGGGCAGCTCTTGGTCTGGAAGGTATAAAAGGGAAGGGAAGAAGGGCACTATTGCTTCTGTTCCTTTCAGGATCAGAGTGCTGACCTTGGAGGTCATCTCCTGCCTTGTACATCCGCTTTGGCTTCCAGTGAGCACCGTTCTGAATTCCGTGTAGACTCTTCAGTCCCCACCACAGACAGATCACCCTCTGGATTCGCGCTACGCTCACAGGGGACACAGCAGTGACATTCAGATCTTCGACTAAATCCTCAGGTCTCCAGTGTGAAGACAGCCTCTGCACTCTTCCCCATCTGTCTCGAGGTGGCCATTGTAAGTCAACTGTGTTAAGTAATATGTATTTGCACAGTTCTGTTATAACTCTTTGTCTAGTAATTCTACTGATACAACAGAGAGGGAGGGAAGGTTTCTGTTGCATTGTATGGTCCATTGAACCTGTTGTCTTGAGAATATGTTGGTAGAACATATGTGGCAAGGAGGCCTGCTCCCTTCCTAGCACCTGGGGAGTGAATAAAGAGGAGTGGCCAAGATGTCATTATGTCTTTGGGGACACTCACTGTAGGGTCCCATCAGACCTGTAGCAAGGAGACATCTCAGAGCCTCTTGCAACTCCTGCTGCTGTGAAGTGGGCTGTGCACAGGAAGGTACCTGGGTCTGCCACAGGAGGCAACAGAGGAGGCACAAGATAGGCCCTTTACTGTCTAGGATGCTTGCACCCATACTTTCCTCCTCTGTGCAAATGGGAAGAGAACACATAACTCATAGTGTCGGAGGCACGGTCTGCAATACACAAGTGTCAGTGACGTTGGAGAAGCCTACATTGGCCATGTCAGAGACCTTACATGGTTCTGGGTATCCGGGACACTACCGATCCATTGGCTATCCTTTGCTGAATTTTGAAACTCTTCCTGTTGAGCACTTAAGGGAAGAGAACATAACTGAATCCCTGCTACTATGGAATTCATGATGTTCTCACCTCTTTACTTTTTTTCAAGGTGGTGACAAAAACTCAGCCGGATGGAGCACAAGGGCACCAAAAAGATACAAAGGTAAGGCTGGACAAACACGTGTCCACAATGAGAAATCTGCTATTTTTACGTCACTTTGAAAGAGCAAGGAAGTAACTCCTGTTCAAAAATAGTGCCATCAAAACCTTTTTGAAATCCAATATGTGATAAAATGAATGGCCATTAGCAATATATTACTATAATAATCATAACGATGGTAATGAAGGTGAGGAAGCCCTTCAGTGCATTTAGCTGGCCTGGTGCTCAAGCCACAGCCCTCCTCAGAGTGAATTTCCTGAGATTTGGATTCCAGAGGACCTGTGTGTCTTAGATTTTCAAAGTCTTGCTCAATAGTCAGAGCATGGCTAGGTCATTTTCAGTCTTTGAGACTGGATCTGGTGTAGATCCAATATACATTTCTCCAAAGAATGTGAAGGAACAAAATCTAGAGTTTCAGAATTTGGCTGAAATGGGATCTAGGAATGCAATCCAACCAGTCACACCAGTCAGTTGTCTGAGCTCTGTGTTGCAGTTCAGGAAAATGCAAAGTTACTCAGTGATTCCTCCCTTTGCTTCACAAGCACAGGGACTTGCTTTAGATCCCTGGGACTGAAAAAGGATAAAGGAAAAAGAAAAAAGAAATCTGTAAAGTGAATCCCAACCAAGGGGACAGAAATTAACTGATGTCCTCGCCTCCTAAACAAATACTCCACATATGCACGTGTAGGTGCTGCAGGGCCACAATCACGTGATGTTTGGCTATGTTCAGAAAATATTTCCTCTCCCACGCCCGCTGGTGCACACCTGTCACACCCACCTAGAGAGCCTGAAGCCGAAGTGCCATAAATTTCAGATCAGCCAGAGCTACTTAAAAGTTAGTGGCCAGGTGGAGAGCATCATCTTCACTGTCTCAACAAAAAGAGATGGAAGAAAATTAGGTTTAAGTAACACAGCAATGGGTGGTTCAAGCACAATGGAAAATGTTCATAGGTCCTAAGGACACCATACTCAATGTTTGGAAGGCCAATTCAGCCTGTGCATATTTCAGGTCTGAATGGTGATACACCTAGCTCCTCTCGCAGCAATATTTATGCTCCTACCAACTTCACACTTCTCATTTTAATGTTTGCATAACATTCCATGGAGAGATGCATCTTCAACACTTAAGATTTTCTTTTCATCTTAGAGGAGAGTTCTGTCCCTTAGTTTTGACATTAACATTTCATAAAATACCTTGTCCTTTTCTGGTCTCAACCTGTGGAGCTCTTCTTAAACTTTCTATAAAGTGGCAAGGAATTTAAATTGCTAAAAATATCTCCTTGATATAGACACAATTTTGAATCAGAAGAGCTAGCCCACAGCCAACAGGTTTCTTGGTCATGATGTGAAACTGAGCGGTTTCCACTCCTCTCACCCACAGATACTTCTGTGTCAGATCTCAAGATCTGTGCCTAAACTGTTCCAATGAAGTAAACAGCTCTGAGTTGGATGAGGACCACACTGCTCAGCTCCAAGGCCATCGAAGACAGGAAGAATTTGCCCCAAAAATGTCCCAAGGGAGGACTTGAGGCAAACTTGGAGCAGAGGCAGGAATACTGCACTACTGGAGCCGTGTGGGCCTCAACAAGGATCATTGCCTCGAGAGCACACAGGATGTGAACACTGTGTCAACCCTGGACAGAGCACCAATGGCATGGGCCCCAGAGATGCTCCACAGCCACTCAGGAAACGCCAAACGGATTCCTGGGACAGACCTGCCCAAGGCATGCACACAGCTCTGGACTTACTTGAAGTCAGGGACTCCAGGACCCAGGACCATGTTCTGCCCTCCTTGGAAGAGACTCCAGCCATGGGAAAAGGGGAGTGCAGAGCTCCTGCTGAGGCACAGAGTCCAGTGCGGGAAGGACAAGTCCAGGCCCTCCCGCCCCTAGGCTGGGATCACCCTCCTCTGTGGGACCTGGCGGTGGACAGCCAGGGGGATTATGGGAAGAGGAAGAAGAACTGGTGGAAGACCTTCCAGTGTTACAAGCTGCACTGGAAGAGAAGATGTAGCAGGCACATTTTGTGTGGGTAGTGAGCCAGTGTCACGCTGAGTAAGGGGAGAGCCCTGTGCTGCTCCGTGGGTCCTTAGCTGAGCATTGGCCAGCACACCCTGGTGTGGCATAGGCCTTGTTTACCTCCAGCTCCTGTTCTTACTGTGGGGGCCTGAGCTGTGCTGCTTGTGAAAGTGTTGTAACCGTACTGTTTCCTTGGGAGGTCATTGGGGACAGGAGAATCCACATCAGAGTGAGCTGTTCTACCCCTGTTCACAGAAAGTAGAGAAACTGTGAGCCTTACTTTCCAACAGTCACAGCCGTGGAGAGGATCTGGGACAGATGGAATGAGAACACGGTTAAGTCCCCTCTCCTAGACCCAAGGAAATAAGGTCACGGAGTATGCGCTCCATTGAAAATCGCTTCCTTGCTTTTGAGAGCCAAACATTGTCCCCATTACAGAGAACAAAAGTTCCCCTTCAATGGCCCTTCGTTATTCAGGGAAATTCACCCAGGAAATTGATAACTAACCACTTGTTGGACACTGGTGAGATTGACAGGCTTTCAGGAGGACAGGAAGTGACCAGGAAACAAATGGCTCATCTGAGCACAATAGCAAAATGCCTGGACCTTCACATTTTATACACTGTGACTGTTTTTGCAATCTCCTTTGTGACTGGGCAGCCTGGACATAATCATTGTGAGAAATTCTTTTGGCACATTTAAACTTTCAGTTCATGAGGAAAGCTTGTATGGAGAGTGTTGTGCCATGAAAAGTCTCATCCTAACTAGACTATAACAACTTCTTTGTCTCTGTGTGCAGACTCAGTGTGATTCTCATGTAGCTCTTTGTACACCTGTGAAGACAGAAGATGGTCACCATTGTGGAGAAAACATTTAAGCATGAAATTTTCCTGAATCTGTTTTTGTAAAGTTTTCCCTGAAATTTCACTGACATTGTGTCAAATATTCATATTTTCTCAAGACCTGATAAAGAGATCACCTAATTAGATATGATGTAACAATATGTCTTGTAAAGATTCACATGGCATGGTGAATCTTGGTTTTTTTTTAAGATTATGTAATTATTACATAATAAACAAAGTACAGTTTTAAAATATATATGAATTTCTTTTTTTGAGGTGAAATTCAGCTATAAAATAAACACAGAAGAAAATCCTTTCCTTGGGTTGCCAAGGCCGGGAATACTGAGTAGTTTCAGCTCACAAATCAGACTCCTGTATGTGTGATGGGAATATTAGATCTCTAACACAAGACACACCCATTTTTCCATGCCTAGTAAGAGTGGCCATTGGTCATTCCCCATTTATCTCCATTCTGCCTCTCTGACTGTCAGGATTTTCTTCCCATCTCTGGCCTCAGTATCAAGTCTTACTCTTGAACTTGGGTTTTGGTATGTGACCATTTCTGAACTCTGATTTGCTCATTTGTAAGTGCGGATCCTTCCTGGTTTACAGCATGAACAGGAGTGCTTGCTAGACCAGCAGATTACTGAGCGTGCCTTTTGAGTAACACAGATTCATGGGGTCCAGGAGAGGGATTGAGATGGACTGTATAGTCTATGTCATTTCTGAAACACTCTTTCAAGCACTAAGAGACAGCAATGCCTAAGTGATACTGCACTGATTAGCAGTAAAGGAAAAATACTTGCACCCTCACTCCAATGCACGCATGATTATAACTGAATGTCTTAGTCCATTCTAATAAAAAGTAAAAGACATAGAGCTATACCAGGAAGAGAAAATAATTGCCTACCAGGGATTTTATACTTTATCGCACACTCCTGGGGATGTGAAACCCTTTTTGAAAACCCTGAGCGCAGTGTTCACCTGTGTCCAATAGATGGGGCAATGGCCTCTTTGTTCAAGGTGAATGAGTGGCCCACTTGGATGCCTGCTAAATCAGGAGAACAAGGACATACCTGGGCAGCTGATGTTGCTGTACGAATGGCCCCAGATGTCCTTTTATATCCTTCTAGACACAATAAGGGATTCCCAGGGAGATTTGACAAGAGTCCTTCAGAATAATGGAGGGAAGTGAGGTAAGGAAAAAATACTTGGATAAAAAGTAATACATTTCACCAAAATTAAAATTCAGAGAAGGCAAGAATTGGCAACTTGGAGCCCACGTAAAAGATATCATTTGGATGACAGCCAAAAATCAACAACAAACAAAGCACTGTGTGATGGCACTCCAAATCCCTGAGTTTGGCTGTATGGACTGCAGACCATCTCTGTCCTGGCTTAGAGTGCAGCGATATCACAATAGGAGCAGAACAAGTAGCACCAGGAGTAGAACTTCTGGGAGAATCAACTCGAGCGGCCAACGTCCCAATGTCAGGAGCTGGGAGAACCAGTAGCCAAGGCCCTCACCATCAGTGAGCCTATGACACCTGCTAGCTCCGCAATGGGATCCTGCTCCACCAAGGGGCTTAGAGCAAGACAGCTACTGACTCATCACCACCCATTCTGCATTGTTCAGACTGGCTGAGCCCTTGCAATGAAGACATGGGGAATCTCAGTCATTTCTGAGGCCCTGGTCACTGCTTCTATTCTGGATCATGGGGCAAGAATCATGTCAGCTTATCCAGATACACATTAACACACACACACACACACACACACACACGCACACGCACACACATTTCTAAAACAAAATTCAATGAGATACAACAAAGAATGATATTTGCTTTAACTACATTTAAAAGAAAAAATGAGTGTTACATTGCAGACACTGACAAATGACTCTGCTTTATAAAGATATTCTGTGATTCATCTGAAGAGGAGTAGAATACGAGAGCACTACTCTGTTTTGTTAGCACCACTCTGACTGCACACCTAAAGGCTGAAATCACAAAGACATGTGAACCTGCACTGTACTCTGATATCTGAAAATATTTCTCAGAGCGGTACAGAAGCAGACCTTAGGGATGCTAGGTTTGTTATTATACCTCTTCTTCCAGAGACAAAGAAATGCACACACTTGAAAGCAGGAGTTTATTAGGCTCATCTTTCCAGCCCATGGGGCTGTCCTCAAAACAAAAATAGAGGGCCCTCAGGGCAAAGTAAAGCAAAGGTGTTCAATAACTACCAGAGTGAACGTTGGGAGAGAGACAGACAGACAGACAAACAGTGAGAAGGAGACACAAGCAGAGAGAGAGCAGTCACCATGAAGAATATGTCCTTTTACATCATATCCCCAGGAAACAAATCCTCCTCCTGAAAGCCGGTCCATCACATGACGCACACAGGATGAAGCAATGGATGAGGACATCACCTGAAGATCCAATCACTTGGAATACCCCTGCGGGTTAGGGGACATTTCATATCTGAAATATAACATTAGACTCACAGACTGTGTGGAAATGTTATAGGTGATAAACCCACGTTTTCTCACCATATGTAATAGCTTCTGTTTCGATGTCCCTCCAAACCTTCATGCATTCTCAGAGGTGAAGGAATCCAGAGTGTTTTTTTGATTTTGGAGGGACTAGGCCCAGAGTACTGGGGGAAGGATGGGAGGGCTGCACAACCTAAGTAGTTTGAGGAAGATAACAGGGGCTGGAAGACGCTGATAAGGTCCCTCGGTGCTTTGCTACCATGTGTCCACCATGAGCTGTTGCCCACCTGCTACCCTGCCTTGGAGCTGTGAATGAATCCTGCAATTCCAGGTTTTCTGGCTTTGACCCTAAGCTCATCATTTTAGCCCTGGCTTCTCTAAACAGGATTGGTGAACGTCAGTCAGTTCTAAAGCTGTACCTCATGCTTATGTTGCAGATCACGAAACAAAAATAATGTCAGATTTCCCACTTACACACACACACACACACACACACACGCACACAAACTCACACACACATGCATACACAGCCAAAACAAATCGCAAGGACATACCACAAAGAGTGATGTTTGCTATATGTACATTGAAAGCAAGATGTGAAAGTTAGATTGCAGATAGCCAATTTTGCTTCATGTTACAAGAGTTTACAGAACTTCTCGCAGAGGATATATATAAAGAGACCTGTTCTCAGTCATGTTAGCCGAGTTCTGAATGATCTGTTATGGCTGAAATTAAAAAGATGTGAGTACCTGACCTACACTCTGATTGCTAACTATCTTTCACAAGGCAGTACATGTTCAGATCTAGGGAGGCTAGGTATGTCTATACATTCCTAATTGCTGACACAAAATACCACACACAATAGAAGAGATGAGTTTATTTTGGCTCATCTTTCCAGCCACAGGGCTGTCTCCAAGGAAAGTACAGCTGGAAAGAAGGAACAAAGGGAAGTAAAACATGCTCAATACATGGTGGACAAGAAGCTGTGAGAGAGCCAGAGAGACAGAGAGACTGACAGAGAGAGAAAGCAAAAGGAATACAGAGAAGAGTCCAAACAAGAACAGAATCTTTCACAACATGCTCCCACTAGCACACGACTTCCCCTCTTCAAGTACAGAACACATCATAGGATGAAGTAGTTGATAAGGACAGCAGCCTGAGATTCACTCACTGTGAACACATGTGAGTCTTCATAGGGACAGGCCATTTTAGACCTACAGTGTGGCATTAGGTATACACACACACTACAGAAATACTGTAGCTCATGAATCCAGGTTTCCTTACCATATATGATGGCTGTTGTTGAGAGGCCTCCCAAAGCCTCATGCTTTTTCACAGTTAGCTGAACCGAGAGCATGTGACTGATTCATGCTGGAGAAAGGCCTGAGAGTACTAGGAGTAAGGGTGTGAGTGCTATGCACCCTATATAGTCTGAGTAAGTCAACAGGGGTAGGAGATGCCCTGAAGGTCCCAGGTTGTTTTGCTGCCATCTGTCCACCATGCACTGTTGCAGCTTTCTAAAACATCCTTGGAGCCATGAGTTAATCCTATGACACCAGCCTTCCCGGCTTTGACTGAACTCATCAGTTTTTGCGTGATAACTCGTAACATTCCACTCTGTACCTAAGACATCCACCTGTCCCACATCCCACTCACTAGCATCCATCCAATGCTGTCCTATGATAAATAAGATACCAGACAGACAGACCTGTCACAGTTTGCCAGGTGCAGAAGACCACAAAGGCTGCATTATACTTAATTTATTACTTGGAGTATGGGCATTCCTATAATCCTCCCTGATATTCCACAGTAAAAAATTTTACTTCTTGAGTAACATCAGGATGCTGGGAACTCAGCATAGACTCCTTTCTGGGACCCTAGTGTACAGTGTCGATAGGGAAAGCACAAGGAAGTCTGAAAACCCGCTACAGAGCATGCATGGTGTCTCAGCTACAACACTGTCACTTTCCTTCAGTTAATGTGCTTATAGTTTTATTTCCCAAACTAGGAGAATAAGAGTTAAGGGCACACAAGTACAATTTCCCAATAGTGAGGATCCCTATGCCTCTTTTATATAACATGTTTGAATGACAGTGTGCTTTGCAGACAATATTCAACTGTAAACCAGATATAGGTGGACGAGTCTTCAGAAGATTACATGAAGTGGCATGGTGAATGTAGACAAAATTTGGACCTAAAATCCAGAAGAAACTGAATTCCTCCCCCCATCCATATTTTACTCATGGTCTAACCCAGGGCAATTGTGACAAGAGGATCGATCATCCTGCATTTCCTGCTGGACTGAGCTCGGGTCTCACTCAACTACCGGATCCGTCTCTCAAGGCTCTGGCC